GACAGCCATTCATTCACTATCTGAGGTAAATACCTGTCTCTACGCGACACGGATTGAACTCTTGTGATCACAGCTTCTGAATGGAACTCCAGGAGATCCATCTTGAATCCAGTTATTAGTGAGCACATAATGATTATTATCATAATGGGGATTTAAGGAGATTGTAGTAGCTTAGATCAACTCATGAATTCAACTATTAAAATTACTACAATCAACTATCAAAATGCACTTTTCTATTCGTAGAAAGTGAATTTCAAATGACTGTACTCAATTATAACTAAGAACATGATATTGATTTATCTGTTAATGTTTTGGCATTTCACTTCAGTCAACAATAATATCTTTTATTATGGCTTTTCAGTGTGCGTAACATCTTTCAGATCACAACCAACCTAGGTGTGCGAAGGTGACAGTGTTTAAACTTGACCAATGTAATTTGATCAAGAGTAGACAATAATTCACACGAGTTCTTAAACACTGTCGAACCAGTTCGATTATCCTAAAACGACAGATTTCAATCAGAAGCTCAGGTATTTAACATACGCTAATTCAATCTTTACAGTACTACTTTGTACTGAATAGATACAGATTTGGTGAATTTTTGTGATTTACACTCTCAAAACACTGTCAATTATTTTCAGAATAATTTCGATGACATTATTGGATTTTAATCGACACCTATCTACAAAATCCATGACCACTGACTAAAACTATGATAACTATCTGCTTCAAATGAAATCTAGTTCTCTGATTTAATTTCCTATATATAAGCAGATTAATTTCAACAAGGTGATGTTAAAAATCTGGTGTGAAATGTGTTGAGGATAATAATATTTCCAACTCTGCCTGTAGTGCCTACGGGGGCTAATGCTCGTCCCAAGCCTGGATAAAGGAGGAGGCTTGGGCATGGGGTTACCGACCCCATCCCATAGGAAACGAACTCGCTAGAAAAACGCTAACCAGGAAAAATTATTCAAACTATTTAAACTCTGCCCTGGGAGTTAGAAGATCTTCATTTAGAAAAGTTATGATGTCTTATGGTAAAAGCCGAGTTCCTACGGAAGTCACGAGTCTGGTGCCTCCTCTGACAACCAGAGCAACCATTTATTTAAATACATGGAATGTTCGTACAATGTGGGACACCGGGAGAGTCAGCCAAGTTGTTGCAGAAATGAAAAGACACAACATGAGGGTGCTTGGAATCAGTGAAACACATTGGACGCAGGTTTGAAAACAACGACTAGCTTCAGGGGAGCCCCTGTGATACTCCGGTCATGAAGAAGAAAATGCTCCACATATATAAGGCGTTGCACTGATGCTATCCAAACAAGTTCAAAATGCACTTATAGGATGGAAATCTCATGGACCAAGGATCATCAAAGCCTCCTTCAAAACAAAGAAAGAGGGTATCTTAATGAACGTTATCCAGTGCTATGTGCCTTCCAACGATTACAATGAAGACGTTAAAGACCAATTATGCAATAGGCCGCGGTTAATCGTTGAGAAATTCTCAACAAAGGATTCGACCATTTTGATGGGAAATTTCAATGCCAAGGTTGGAATGAACAACACTGAATATGAAGTTATCATGGGAAGACATCGACTGAGAGAAGCGAACAAAAATGCTGAGAGATTTGCAAACCTATGTGCTTTCAATAAACTGGTCATAGGCGGCACTATATTCCCACTTAAACGCATACACAAAACCACATGGACTTCACCGGATCACACTACACAAAACCAAATCGACCACATCTGCATCAACAAAACGTTCAGGAGGACGATGGAGGACGTGCGAACCAAAAGAGGAGCTGATATAGCATCAGATCACCACTTGCTGGTCGCCAAGATGAAATTGAACCTCAAGAAGCACCGGACAATGGGGCGGACAACAGCACAAAGGTTTAATATGGCCTTTCTTCAGGATACTGACAAACTCAACAAATTCAAGATAGTCCTCGGCAATAGATTCCAGGCCTTTCATGATCTACTCAACGGAGAAGGAACTATTATGAAGAGCAACTGGAAAGGTACCAAAGAGGCTATCACTTCAACGTGTCATGAGGTTCTAGGCCACAAGAACAAAACCACAAGGAATGGATCACTGTTGATACACTGGATAAGATTCAAGAAAGGAGGAACAAGAAAACAGCAATCAATACCAGCCGAACAAGAGCAGAAGAAGCCAAGGCACAAGCTGAATACACAGAAGTAAACAAACAAGTGAAGAGGAGCACCACAAACGACAAACGTAAATATGTGGAAGATCTGACAACGACGGTGGAAAAGGCTGCAAGAGAAGGAAACATGAGACAACTGTATGACACGACAAAGAAACTCGCTGGAAATTACCGTAAACCAGAACTACCAGTGAAAAGCAAGGAAGGCAAGGTAATCACCAACATTGGAGAACAGCAAAACAGGTGGGTAGAACACTTCAAAGAACTCTTGAGTCGACCAGCTCCACTGAACCCACCCAACATGGAAGCAGCACCCACGGACCTCCCAATCAATGTTGGTCCACCAACAATTGAAGAAATCAGCATGGCCATCAGGTAAATCAAGAGTGGCAAAGCAGCAGGAGCAGACAACATTCCAGCAGAGGCACTGAAAGCAGACGTACCGGTAACTACAAGGATACTCCACATTCTCTTCAGCAAGACTTGGAATGTGGAACAAACACCAACAGACTGGAAAGAAGGAGTTCTGATAAAAATACCGAAGAAAGGCGATCTCAGCAACTGTGATAACTACAGGGGCATCACTCTTCTCTCAATACCGGGAAAAGTCTTCAACAGGGTATTGTTAAACAGGATGGGGGACTGCGTAGACGCCCAACTTCGTGACCAACAGGCTGGATTCCGTAAGGATAGATCGTGTACAGACCAAATAGCAACTCTACGGATCATTGTGGAACAATCAGTTGAATGGAATTCATCACTCTATATCAACTTCATTGACTACGAAAAGCAATTTGATAGCGTGGACAGAACAACACTATGGAAACTTCTTCGACACTACGGCGTGCCTCAGAAGATAGTCAATATCATACAGAGTTCATAGGATGGATTCAACTGCAAAATCGTTCATGGAGGACAGTTCACAAAGTTGTTCGAAGTTAAGACCGGTGTTAGGCAAGGTTGCTTACTCTCACCCTTTCGCTTTCTCCTGGTGATCGATTGGATCATGAAGACGTCAACACCTGAGGGGAAGCACGGGATACAGTGGACAGCTAGAATGCAGCTGGACGATCTAGACTTCGCAGATGATCTGGCTCTTCTATCGCAAACGCAATAACAAATTCAGGAGAAGACGGCCAGTGTAGCAGCAGCCTCAGCAGCAGTAGGTCTCAACATACACAAAGGGAAAAGCAAGGTTCTCCCATACAACACAGCATGCACCAATCCAGTCACAATTAACGGAGAAGATTTGGAAGATGAAAAAACCTTCACATATCTGGGCAGCATCATTGGTGAACAGGGTGGATCTGATGTAGATGCGAAGGCGCAGATCGGTAAAGCAAGAGCAGCATATTTACAACTGAGGAACATCTGGAACTCAAAGCAACTGTCAACCAACACCAAGGGCAGGATTTTCAATACAAATGTCAAGATAGTTCTACTGTATGGGGCGGAAACTTGGAGAACTATGAAAGCCATCATCCAGAAAATACAGGTGTTTATTAACAGCTGTCTACGTAAAGTACTTCAGATCCATTGGCCGGACACTATTAGCAACAACCCACTGTGGGAAAGAACAAACCAGATCCCAGCGGAGGAAGAAATCAGGAAGAAGCGCTAGAAGTGGGTAGGACACTGATTGAGGAAATCACCCAGCTGCGTCACAAGACAAGCCTACACATGGAATCCTCTAGGCCAAAGGAAAAGTGGATGACCAAAGAACACATTCCGCCGGGAAATGGAAATAGACATGAGAAAAATGAACAAGAATTGGATGGAACTAGAAAAGAAGGCTCAGGACAGTGTGTTGGAGAATGTTGGTCGGCGGCCAATGCTCCATTGGGAGTAACAGGCGTAAGTATGTAAGTAAGCGTACCACATCAGATGGACCAAGGAGAAAAAAGATCAATAAGTGAATAAAGCAAGGGTGTTGCCTTATTGTCATATTACTGAATGAATTTGTGACTTGGTTTATATACCCTTACATTTAGTACGGTAAACTGATATCAAACAGATAAACACAGACATATAGAAATTGAGCACTGTATTTCGTACAATACGATTAATACGACTAAAAAAGAAACATACATGTGTGAAAATAATTGCTAAGATTAGTATGAATTGACTTTCACATTATTTATGACTTCACATGTGCTCAGAATAGAACTCATATACGTGTGTAATTTTAGAGGAGTTTCATAAAATAGTACTGTACAATCGATTGTAGCAGCTGATACTATGTCCGGCACGCATGGGCTGTTCTAACTTTTGGACAAACCAGTTTATTCATTCTTCTCAAGCCACATTTTGACCATGTCACTTATTCGTTTACTAATCCTGACTGTTTTCATATGGTCGTATGTGTGTTAATTGCTTACCCTGATCATTACGTGTCTGTAATTTATTTTTCTCTGAATATAAATGTTAAGTCACTCGCATTCTCCAGTGCGCGTCACTTCGTATCGTTGCGCTTTGCTTCCTTTACTAGGTCTTTCTGATTGTCTGTTCACATAAACGATTGTATGAAACATACTTATAGAAATTCATCCTCGTATTTGACTTATTTGACTCCGTTACTCACTAACGATAATTATATATGATGGCTGATGGCATGCATATTTCGATAATAATCATCGTACGGTCTAACTGAACTCAGATATGAGGTCAATAAAGTGTTGATCCCCACTACGAACCTAACGCAACAAACTACTTCGGTGAATAAACTTCCGCACATCACACTTTCGAAGAACGAACTCAACTTAGTTTATTCGATCGATAGCCTCACCAATAATATCATACCACTACAGGATCAATGATACATTATTCAAGTTGAGCATATCTGAGATTAAATAAAATACCAAATAATAATATAAACGACAACTTGCCGAAATCGTGGAATTCATAAACACCGAAAAATCCTGTCCTCACATACATTCCATTAGAGAAGAATTTCAAGTTTAAACACGGTTGACGCCATTGAATTCTGAATGGATCCACTGGACTTTGTTTGTGACATAATCGACGTTTTGGTGTGCTGAATAATTCTGTTGGATAACAACTACTAATTTCAACATTATCACCCATAGTATCATCTGTACAACTTCGTCAATGAGAAAAAATGTGTAGAAAAAAATTGGAATGTGGACACTTGTTTAATACTACTTGATGCCTCGTTCATTATTTGTCAGTATTAGGTGGTTGGAACTAGTCGACAGACAAAACTCCAATCTTGAGGTTACAGACCCTCCCTGTGGGGTTCAAACCAGCGTCATCAAGATGGGAATCTGAGAAACTCCCACTGAGCTAATCAGAATTCAGATGACCTTCTGTTGAAATGAGATACATTCACTGACTAGTCATTTCTATTCACTGTCATTATAACTGATTCTAAGCAGCTTGTTTGTATCAAATTACGGTAAATCCAAACAAATGTTAATGTTTGAAGGTGTGAAGTTTCTGGTGAACAGCTGAAGAATAGCTTGCTTATCATTACTTTTTTGACAGGATGGCTACTTATTCATGAATTAAAATGCTAACATTATTCAAAATCCTGGTTAGGACAACATATATAAGTGAACAATAGTGTTTACGATTAGATACTCATCAGGCTTTACTCGAATATATATGAATATCTAGATGCAGATCTGAAATTATTAAACTGATCAAGGCAGTTTATGAGGCAATGATAACAGTGGAATTGATTACATAAATAAGCATAATAAGTAAAAAGTAAAAAAATTGATAGTGTGATGTCAGGTGTACTAGTTGTAGTGAAAATAATAAAGGCTTGAATCAATGTTTCATAATAGGAAGTAGGTCGATGACTTAAAAAATAAACACTGAAATAATATTCATTAAAAATCATAAGGGATGTTCAGATAATTGGACAGTGAAGTGTATATTTGAGAAAAGGGGTTGGAGAAAAATCAACGAACAAAGAGTGTGGAAAATAATAATAAACGAATAAAGTCATTTATTAGATCTGATTCGGCCAAAGAAGAGACGAGGGTATTGAAATTTTATTATGAATACAAGAACTTGGATTGTTAGCTCGAATTCCTATAGCTTCTGCAATATGTAAGAAACGGGATCGAACATTTTAAGGAAAACTAGTGGGGATAGAATATAACTCTTTAAATGACATATTTCTGTCTACTACATAAACGCTATAGATCAAGTGTGATAGAACAGAGCTGTGTAGTGTTTTGACGGTGCACTCTCCTAACCACGAAGGAAGGTGTTTATTTACTCGTTCGCACAGCTTTCTCGTATTGCACCAAATACAGCTTTCTCCATAGGAGCAGCTGAATTCGTAGATACACATAGATGTGGCAGAATCAGTAACTTATCCTTTGGTTGAGGAATCACGATAGATGGGGGTCGAATACGATAGGCAGCGGTTAGCTTCATTAAACGTTCTCTTAACTGCTCTAGTATAATAATATACTTGTAATATCTCAATGACTAGGAAATACAATTTCTGACATTTCGTAAATTAAGGGTCAAGGTGCTTCTTATGACACATTCATGTGCATTTGTTAGTGGGCATGGAAAATGTGATATTTTTCAAATGGAAAGGTAGCTGAATTTGTATGATAACGGTGCGAGATGTGAATAGACTTAGATATATTAGCCGTGATAAACGGTCCAAGTTGGATGGATGGTAAGGCATTCATTTCTATTGAGGGCATTAAAATTTAGTAATATATGTAAAGTTCCAGTAACCCGCCTTTTTATTGCTGGGAAAGTGTTTTTTAATCATTTTGATGTTTCTTATACCAATTTGACGGTAATAGATGGTGTCTTTCCGTAATGAACAGCCAACTCGTTAAACTTAGACTACAGAAAAATAACATCTAAGCTGTACAAAAAACCATCTATTGATCTTGCGGTAGTTTACGTGGATTACTGAGAAGTCCCATACTAAGACGAGACGGACGTCCAAACTTTCAGGTTTCTAGTAGGGGTCTCGCTAAGATCAGTTCATGATTTAAACTACGAGAATTATCAAGTCTCCCCAAGTCAGTCTATTCCAATAATAACCATGTACTCGCTACCTTCGAGATGCAACCCTTGGATTTCTAGTAAGAAATCACGACCAGTGGAGTTCAACCATGTCAGGTGTGAGACAGTTATCTAGATCAGGCGATGGCTGAAGTTTGTTAAATGCTGTTAATGTAATATATTGGATTATTTATTTTTTGAAGTAGAGACTTGCACTGAGTCATGAGACGTCAGAGATTTTATAATCTACTCATTCAGATATTATAAAGACATCTTCATTTTTTATTATTAGATAGTTTGTTTGCTTTGAATTTATTTTACCTACGATTTTCAGGTCACTTTTCTGAGCGAACTATCAGTTAGGCTAAATTTAGTTCTACCAGTGATAATGATATAAACCGGAACTTTATTAATTTTGTCGTTGATAATAAGATGTGGAATAATAACCATAATTCAGGTCGATTTGACGTAACTCGGCCAGCTTTGTAAAGTAGATAATGCAATGTTAATTCTTCACTGAGGATAACTTGTTATGAAGTAGTCTATGCTCAAAAGTTCAAATCTGGCTGGTTTAAAGCATTTGTTGGCAAGACGTATCTGGATTATTGAAGGAAATTAGTGATTTTTATGTCGTTGGAAACCGCATCAACATGTATCGGTTACATCTAGAGCTTAGATTCTTAATATACCGCGTACAACTTGAGCACTTTAACGCTAGGACTCTCCAAGGCGCAAATGAGAAGACAGAAGACAAGTGAAAGAAACGCTATTTCAAATAGGGTCAAATATTGTACGAAACTCCCTGGTATTTATAGTTTTTAGTAAAAGTGAAGTCATTTTTATAGTCATCCAACCCGCATACAGTGGTTTTTAGCATTCGTCCAACAGGGAAACTACACGTCAAAATTCTGGAATGTTCTTCCAAAAGATGATTGAGTGGAATATCTTTGGCTTTTTCTGAGCTTGTTAGTGATTCCTCGAGTTCACCCGTGGGCCGTCCCCACAGTATCAAAGTCAGTAACGTGACCAGTGAGCTGATCAAGACGTAACTGATCTCTTCTGGAGTTGAGACAGTCAATCTTATTGACAACTAGTATCTGTTAATTGTAAAAAACTGGTTATTTCCAAGATGAGGTATCGTTTAAATTTGCTTACTGGACGATATATGTTTATCTCTTCTAATTTCTAAAGTAACAATAGTTTATCTTTCTTACAGGCAAGTTTCTTGTAGCATAAAAGTGTATAAAATAGCTTTCTAAAAGTTCTCAGTTACTTATCTTTAAAGCCGTCTGAACATATTTGGAAAATCAATTATATTTAAGTGGCTTATTATCTCTTATCTAAATTGTTGACAGGTATCTTGATCTCAACGGCTTAGACAAATTCCCTAGCTCCAAAAAACCATAATTGCTTGGACTAAGGTAAAAAAAGCAGAATGTTGTAAACAAGGAAGTTTACTTCAAAGGTTAGATATTATACAGAAACCAGAAGGTTAATAAGGTCAGTAGATATAATGAGATTTAAGGAGCTTCGAGAATACCTACTAAAATTGATTAAGAAGTTGATAATTGTTTAATAAAGGTGATGAAAGCATATTCAGTCGTCTACCAGATTTTTCATGTAAGTTTCCTACAGGTATTGACTGATTAGAGTAATTTCGACAGGTTTCCTAGCTTTCGTATATTTCAAGGAATTAGGAAGGAATCTCAGTAGCTGTTAAACGTATGTTTCAGCTATTAAGTAGTTCATTTCTAGTGAAAAATCTAAGATAATTCGATAAATCTTCAATGGCATGTGCTTATAAAGGAAAACGAAACAAAAAGATAACTTTCATACGATTAAAATCAACCACTTACGTTTTAGAAGTACTTTCTACATCAAATTCCAAGAATGCAATATCAATTCTTCTTAGGTTTAGCCCAGAAAACCGATATTCACAAATGATATCAATTGGATATAATCCAGGATAATTTGGTGATGAGAAATTCCCTGTCATTGATTGAGAACGATTGAATTCGAAGAAGCAACCTGTAAAGAGTACGAAACACTAGATTCTAAATGTGTTTCAACGACGACTACTCCATTTATAATGGGTAATACACTGGTGATCTAGAGGTAGTAGAGTCTATTACAGAATAAGAAAGGAGTATTCTTATTCTGGAACTCATCGAATGTCTTGCATAGAGCAGGATCCTCACGCGATTTTAAGTGGAAGATGTGAGTTTTAGTGGAAGACATTATTTCACCAATGTAACACTGATTGAGCCAACCGAGTTTATGTACAAGCAAATATTGAAAAACAAATAAAAACACGGCTTCGTTCAAGATAGTCTTAAATTTAATCCTATTGTGTTTTCAACTCCGCCTGAACCCATCTGTGGCTACTGCTCTTCCCAAGCCTGGATAAAGGAGGAGGCTTGGGCATGGGGTTACCGACCCCATCCCATAGGAAACGAACTCGCTAGAAAAACGCTAACCAGGAAAAATTATTCAAACTATTTAAACTCTGCCCTGGGAGTTAGAAGATCTTCGTTTAGAAAAGTTATGATGTCTTATGGTAAAAGCCGAGTTCCTACGGAAGTCACGAGTCTGGTGCCTCCTCTGACAACCAGAGCAACCATTTATTTAAATACATGGAATGTTCGTACAATGTGGGACACCGGGAGAGTCAGCCAAGTTGTTGCAGAAATGAAAAGACACAACATGAGGGTGCTTGGAATCAGTGAAACACATTGGACGCAGGTTTGAAAACAACGACTAGCTTCAGGGGAGCCCCTGTGATACTCCGGTCATGAAGAAGAAAATGCTCCACATATATAAGGCGTTGCACTGATGCTATCCAAACAAGTTCAAAATGCACTTATAGGATGGAAATCTCATGGACCAAGGATCATCAAAGCCTCCTTCAAAACAAAGAAAGAGGGTATCTTAATGAACGTTATCCAGTGCTATGTGCCTTCCAACGATTACAATGAAGACGTTAAAGACCAATTATGCAATAGGCCGCGGTTAATCGTTGAGAAATTCTCAACAAAGGATTCGACCATTTTGATGGGAACTTTCAATGCCAACTGTCAAACAACACCAAGGGCAGGATTTTCAATACAAATATCAAGATAGTTCTACTGTATGGGGTGGAAACTTGGAGAACTACGAGAACCATCATCCAGAATAATAGCTGTATGCGTAAAATACTTTGGATCCGTTGACCGGACACTACCAGCAACAACCTACTGTGGGAGAGAACAAACCAGACTCCAGCGGAGGAAGAAATGAAAAAGAAGCGCTAGAAGTGGATAGGACACTCATTAAGGAAAGCACCCTGCTGCGTTACAAAGCAAGCCTTTCTCTCAGATACCAAAAAATTCAAAGAATTCAAGATAGTTTCCAACAACGGGTTCGAAGCCTTACGTGATCTACTGAAGGAAGAATAAACTAATATGAAGGACAACTGGAAAGGTATCAAAGAAGCATTAGCTTCAACATGACAGCAGGTTCTGGCCCCAAGAAGCTTCATCATAAAGAATGGATCTCTAAAGAAACACTGGACAGGATCAAGGAAAGGATGAACAGGAAGACAGCATTAACAACAGACGAACACGAGCTGAGAAAGTCAAGGCACAAGCTGAGTACACAAAAGCAAACAAGCAAGTGAAGAAGAGCATTAAAGCCGACAAGCAGAAATACGTGGAACAACTAGCAACGACGGTGGAAAAGCCGCAAGATAAGGAAATATGAAACAAATATATGATACAACGAAGAAACTAGCAGGGAGTATAGTAAACCGGAGAGACCGGTCAAGGACAAAGAAGGAAGGCCAATCACTGAAATTCAAAGACAGAGGAACAGATGGGTAGAGCACTTTGAAGGACTCCTGAATAGGTCCACTCCAATGAATCCACCGGCTATCGAAGCAGCACATACCGACCTTCCTATAGTTGTCACTCAACGATCGAAGAAATCGGGATGGCTATAAACAAATCAAGAGCGGGAAAGAAACAGGACCTGACAATATACCAGCTAAAGCACTGAAGTCAAACATCGAAGTAACTGCAAACATGCTTCACCTTCTATTCAACAAGGTCTGAAAGAAGAAACAAGGGCCGACGGACTGGAAAGAAGGATACATCATCAAGATTTCGAAGAAAAAAGATCTGAGCAAATGCGAAAACTACATAGGCATCACATTGCTGTCAGTACCAGGGAAAGTCTTTAACAGAGTGTTGTTGAACCGGATGAAAGACGCAGTAGACGCCCAACTTCGAGATGAACAAACTGGATTCCGTAAAGATCATCGTCGCACAATCCATTGAGTGTAATTCGTCACTATACATCAATTTAATTGACTATGAGAAGGCGTTTGGTAGTGTAGATAGGATAACATTATGGAAACTTCTCCGACACCACGGAGTTTCTGAAAAGATTGTCAACATTATGCGGAACTCAAACGACGGACTATCATGCGAAGTCGTGCATAGAGGACAGCTGACAGATACATTCCAAGTGAGGATCGGAGTCATATAAGGCTGTTTACTCTCCCCCTCTCTTTTCTAGTGTTTCAACTGGATTATGAAGACCTAGATATGTAAGAGGAAAATGGAATACAATGGACAGTTCAGAATCAGTTAGAAGATTCGGACTTCGCAGATGACCTAGCCCTTCTATCCCATATACACGGACAAATGCAGATGAAGAAAGCTCGTGTATAAGCAGCCTCTGCATCAGTAGGCCATGACATACACAAGGGGAAAACCAAGGTCCTCAAATAAAACATAGAGAACACCAACCTAATCACACTTGATGGCGAAACTCTGGAAGATAAGGAATCCTTCACGTACCTGCGAAGCATCATCGATGAACAAGGAGGATCCAATTTAGATGTGAAGGTACGGATTGGGAGAGCAAGGGCAGCATTCATACAGTTGAAGAACATATGGAACTCAAAACAACTGTCAACCAATATCAAAGTCACAATCATCAATACGAACATCAGGACAGTTCTAATGTACGGAGCTGAAACTTCGAGAAATACCACAACCATCATCGAGAAGGTAAAAATATTTATAAACAGTTGTCTACGCAAGATACTCAACATCCATTGGCCGGAAAAATCAGCAAACGTCTTCTGTGGAAGAGAACGAACCAGTTTTCAGCTGAGGAGGAAATTTGGAAAAGACGATGGAAATGGATAAGACATACAATACGGAAATCACCAAACTGCATCACGAGGCAAGTCCTAACTTGGAATCCTGAAGGGAAGCGGAAAAGAGGAAGGCCAAAGAACACATTACGTCGGGAAATAGAAGCAGACATCAAAAGGATGAATAACAACTGGAAAGGATCGTCCAGGACAGGGCTGAATGGAGAGTACTGTTGGGCGGTCTATGCTCTTCCAAGAGGAGTAACAGGAGTAAGTAAATAAGTTGTTTCTTTCTTGACTGGATAAAGCTAGATAAACGATTTTATTAATGCATATTGCTATTATTCTTTGTACCCTTTGTCCGTTTGTTTTTCTACACCGTCTTTTGTATGTTCTTCATTATCAGATTACCTCATCATTCCTTATAATGTAATTTGGATGACTTTTAATACTTTCTATTTTGAAAACCATTTTCCGAAGTTTTAATCTTCTTACTACTTTGAAATACTGATCTAAGCTTTTGCTATTCTTATTACAAGTACACCTGATATCATATTGTAAATTTGTACATATTGGTTATTATGTTTAGTTTTTATTTATTTTTCTTTGTGATGGTTGCCTCAAACTTCCTTTATTGATTCCGTTTTTTTTTGAATATGCATTGTAGCAGCTTCTGTGTTATCACATACACATTCGACAACTCCTAACCTTTGCACAGACGTTAATAACACAGAAAGTAAACGATTGTTGAGTCATTTTTACTATCCTAATTTTGACCTCCAATAAATTACATTCATGTCCTTGCAGTCATACAATATTTATACAAGGCTTGTTAACTTGTCACAGCATAAATTATCTTTTCTGAGTTCAGTCAACACTTGTAATTAGTATTATCTCGAAGATACACATCTACAACTAAATCAGATTTGAATTTTAGAGTTGGATTATCGGTTTCACCATTTTATCTGTATAAGTCGTAGGTGTCAGCAAATCAATATACATTTAAGTATCAACTCATTTCTATGTGCTTTATCCAAGTTAATTCACCTATGTTAAATTTGTTTAACTTTCTATTTATTTAGGTCATTCATGCTCGGTTTGACTGAAGCTTAAATTTTCTCATGGTTCGATGAACGATTCTAAAAAGCATATAAACACGAAAATATATGTCCTTTGTGACAAAAAGTAAGCTGTTATATTTTAACTTGTAATTTGTTTACGTATCGCTAATATTTTCCTGCTAAATTTGTAAAGATAGTACGTCTTTTAAAAATACTTCTCAAGTAAGGTGTCATGAGAATAATTTTAGTGGCCGTTTACTGACCCCATGATAACAAAGATTATTGAAATGAATGATCTTAACGAAATATAGTTCATATTAGACTCCTCATATACACTGTCTACTGATCATATTAATACAAAGTAGAAAATTAAGGTTGAATATGAAATATGTAGAATGCCTGACAAATATGAGAGCTGTGGACATGGAAAATGACATTTGGCCAAAGCCAGTGAAAAAAGAGTAAATCAGACTTTATATAAGGTGAACGATATGGAAACTACAGAAAAGCAGTTAAATTATAGCAAACATTCATTCACTAACCAAGTTCACATAAAAAGTGTCCAAGGTTAACAAATGAGTGGTTAACGATGATAAATAACAAGGATAAACGTGGAAAAACATACAACTGTTGACCACATAAAAATTATATGTCCGTCTACAGGTTAGTATTAATTCACTCAGATGTAGTGATCACTACACTTAAGTCAACTAAAATCAGATTTGAATGCTGCTGAAATAATAGAAAGATATCAAATATTCCTCAGATAACATTGACTTATCTTTGAGTAGTAACGAGCGCCATGTTTATCTGGTCCCTATTTTTGACAGTCGACCAAATAGTAACGGTCTACTAGCATGAGTAACTCATTATTGAGAAGTTAGATAATTAGAGGGGATTGATTCGGAACTTCTCATTTCATCTCGCATAAATATTTGAATTATTATGCTCATAAGTATTTATTCCTTGTACATAATAGTTATCTTTTGTGGTAAATATTCGACTTACTTGGCTTTCGTTGATTCCCAAAAGAAGCTGTAACACCATAATCTATAGAAAGAAATATAATTAAAAGTAAGGTCTGGGTAGGCTGTTTGATATAGAGATGATTGACATGGAAGACTGATTTGACATTGACAAATGAACATGAGGTGGTTATGATCGTCAGTTAACTCCACCTGTAGCTCTCCTAGGGTTACTGCCGGTCACAAGAGAGGGTAAGGAAGGAGAGTTGCGTACGGGTCAGTAACCTTATTCCGTAGAAAACAACCTTGCTAAAAAATGCCAACCAGAATAAACAGTTTAAAACACTTTGTTTCGGGAGTTGAAGAATCTTCATCCAGAAGGATTAGGACCCGTCTTGGTGAAAGTCGGTATTCTTCGGAAGTCACGAGGCCAATGTCCATTCTAACAACCAGAACAACAATTTAAATAGGTACACGGAACTTTCATAGGATGGGAGTGACAGGGAACACCAATGAAATAGCTGCGGAAATGAGGAGATACAATTTGAAGTTGCTCGGAATAAGTGCCCCTAAATGCCCTGGTAGGGCTGTGGGTGGGGAGAGTCCGGTCTTCCTCTCCAAGTGCTCTCACATGGCCACCCATGTACAACCACTGATAGGGAAGTCCTACTCACTGCCTTCTCGCGGAGGGGGTGTTGCTCACGAAATCGGGAGGACGGAAAGCGAATGTCTGGCGCTTTTACCGGGTAGGTGAACACGAGGGGTTTCATGTGTATTCGATGCCACTTTTCACCAATATTTATATGTTCAAATAAATCAATATAATATATAATAAATCGGAATAAGTGAGATCCATTAGACCCAAGCTGGACAGAAACAAATAGATTCGGGAATAGATGCTGCTGTACTCTAGTCACAAGGAAGAAAATGCTCCGCACACACAGGGAGTTGTTCTGGTGACATCCAAAGAAGCACGTAAAGCACTCATAGGATGGGAATCTCATGGAACCAGAATCATCAAAGCATCCTTCAAAACAAAGAAGAAGGGAATCACAATGAATGTTATCCAATGTTATGCACCAAACAATGATAGCAATGACGACAATAAAGATAAATTTTATGAGACTGCATTCGATCATACAGAAGTGCCCAGGAAGGTGCCTAATCATTCTGGTGGGAGGCTTAATGCCAAATTCGAAATGGATAACATCGGGTATGAAGATGTCATGGGACGACATGGACTGAGAGGGAAGAACGTCAGTGGTGAAAAATTTGAATATTTATGTGCATTCAACAAAATGGTTATAGGTGACACAATACTCACCCACAAACGCATGTATAAAGCTTCATGGGTTTCACTGGACAACACTACAGAGAACCAGGTTGATCATATTTACATCAATAATAAGTTCACAAGATCCATCAAGGAAGCGCGAATAAAGAAAGGAGCCGACATAGCTCCAGATCACCATCTGGTAGTTGCCAAGATGAAACTGAAACTAAAGAATCATTGGACAACTGGAGAGACAGCATTACAAAAGTTCAATACAGCCTTCCTTCGAAATACTGACAAATTCAACGAATTCAAGATAGCTTTCAGCTTCAGGTTCTAAACCTTATAAAATCTACTCGAAAAAGAGAAAACCACTATTGACGACAATTGGAAAAGGGTCGAAGTAGCACTAACTTCAACGTGTCAAGAGGTTCTGGGCCTCAAGAAGCATTATCATATGGTACGGATCTCTATGAAAACCCTGAGCAATATTTAAGAAAGGAAGTACGAGAAGACAGCAACTAACAACAGACGAACAAGAGCAGAGAAAGTCAAGGCGCAAGCTGAATAAACTGAAGTAAGCAGGCAATCGAAGAGGAGAATTAGAGCCGACAAGCAGAAATACGTGGAACAACTAGCAACGGTAGCGGTGAAAGCTGCAAAAGAAGGAAATGTGAGACAACTATATGACACAACGAAGAAACTGGCAGGGAAATATACTAAACCACGTAGACCGCTCAAGGACAAAGAAGTCATGTCAATCAGTAAGATTCAAGAGATGAGGAAAGGATGGGCAGAACACTTTGAGGAAATCTTGACTAGATCAGTTCCATTAAATCCGCCGAGCGTCGGAGCAGCACTCACAGGATGGTCATTAGACAAATCAAGAGTGGGAGAACAGCAGGACCTGACAATGTACCAGCTGAGGCACTAAAGTCAGACACATAAGTAACTGCAAACATGCTCCACGTTCTATTTAAGGCGATTTGGAAGGAAGAACAAATGCCAATTTACTGAAAAGAAGAATACCTCATCAACATACCAAGGAGATCTGAGCAAATATGAGAATTACAGAGGCACCATACTACTATCGGTACCAGGAAAGGTTTTCAAAAGTGTTGTTGAACGGATGAAAGATTCAACAGACACACAACCTCTAGATCAACAGGCCGGGTTCCGTAAGGATCGGTCCTGCACAGACCAACAACAGACCGACACTACGAATCACCGTTAGAATCGTCATTAAACATCAACTCCCTTGACTATGAGAAGGAGTTTGACAATGTGGATAGGAGAACATCATCAAAACGTCTTCAACACTATGGAGTACCTGGGAGAATCGTCAAAATCATACGGAATCCATACGACGAAGTATACTACAAAGTCGTGCATGGATGATAGCTGACAGACGCATTCCAAGTAAGGATCGAAGTCAGACTCTTCTCCTTCCTCTTTTTTCTGGTGTTTCATGAAAATTTCCACATCTAAGTGGAAGCACGGAATACAATCAACAGAAATTTATCGTTTTTCTTGAAAGTTTTACTAAAAGCAAAAGTTATTTTCACTGGTACCCGTGTGTGGAAACTGGTGTAAAGCGGATACTGCTTCAAAAAGAATAATACTATTCTAGTTCTGTTCAACCACACTAAAATTATTTCTTCATGAACGGTTATAACGTATAAGGATAGTCTTTAAAATCATCTAAGCTTTGCATGAATGATTAGACACAATAATTTTTGAACTCTGATATAATGAACAATGATCACTACTTAGTCAATTAGTAGTTTCGAATCTTTCGGAAATGAACCGATGTATAATTTTATCGATCGGAAATACCATAAGAAAAATCACCTTACCAGTTACATTCTTTCCACTAACAATATTTGGTGATAAAAAAATTAAAATAATCATTGAGACAATTATTAACATATTAGTTTCCCTTAAAAAATGATAACCGATTTTCTCACCTGTGACAAATTTATACTGCACATCATAGCCTAAATCTGATTGCTGAATACTCTGAAAGTTTTGTTTCATGTTTCTACTATTATTGTCACTATTATTATCATTATTAATATTGGTACCATTTCTAGATTGATTGATCTTAAGAATTATATCTAAACGTGGAATATTTCCAGACATGAAACCCTTACTTGCCGGTGAATAAGTCATAAAATCCCCAGCGCATAAACGAACAGGATCTAAAGGTACAGTCTCTATGGGATCTGTGGTGATTAAAGGTGATGTCAATTGTGTAGTAGAAATTGCATTTAAATTTAACGATGAATAACTTTGTTGTGAAACGAAATTAGGATTTAACCGGTTATTTAACAGTCTATTGATATCATTGTTAGTAGTTAAAACATCAGCACGATAATTGATCAATTCCAAAGTCATTGAAGTGGGACATCTGAACAAATAAGATATAAGAAAACAAAATTGTCACGAAAATTATTAATAAGGTTACTTGAAGTTAACAGATATTTACAATCAATAAAAAGCGCTGTGAACTGGAAATTAGTTGTACTCCTAAATCATCTTAGATATTAGAAACTAGTTAAGTATTTATATATGATCAACATGGGGTTGTGGAAATTGTTTAATGTCAGTGATATAGCTAACCAATTCAATAATTTATGTCCGGCTAGTTGTTGTCAACAGTGGCCTAAACATCAATTATTTCTGTCTTTTAAATAATTAGGTCGTACCATTCGCATAAAGCTGTAGTATCAATATTCATCGACTATTTTTAAAGTATCTTAAATTTCTTGTGGCTGCTCTATCTACTGAGGAGCTTTCTTATTGGTTATATATATTTGCAGATATTTTATATAAGGGGTTTTTCATGACGGACTGACCTTGGTTATGCAATCGTTGAAAGGTAGAAAGGTCTGGACAACTAGGTCTCTGTTGCGATATTCAGAAAAATATCCCAGAAATTATCCTGTTTAGGTTAATGCTATCCTTGGACTTGAAATGGCATCATTTTCCTATTGGTCAATTTTTATTTCACGTGTCATTTCCCTGTTGGCCAAATATTGTACAAATGTTATTTTCTGCTTTATGGTGTGATGTGGTCTGCTTGATTGGTACATAAACAGAGTATGTTTGAATACATGATTCATATCGCAGAAGCTGAGACTTGTGTTCTGGACTTAACTGGCTGGGCTAGGCAGGAAGCAGGGCCAATCAGACTCTAGGCTGCTCATGCGTATTTTACGCGTCGTTGGTCCGATCGATAAGTCACTGTCCTCTAATCTGCAGTCACAAGATATAACAGTCTCCATAATATAGGTCTCCATATCCGTGCATGTCCGCGACCACAACAATGGTCGAGTCTTATACACACAGACTTCACAAAGAGAAATTAGCCTTCACCTAATTGCCATCCAGTCACTTACGCTTATGACCTGTGTCAATCTACCATATTGCGATGTTTGTGTCAGCGTTGCTTATTGTTGAGGAGTACAGTATCAGTATAAAACATTTTTTCCAGTGCTTACTGGTTTCCCGCACTGTTTAACCAGTTAGTTTGAAGATAATGTTTTCTATTTTTGGTTTTTTGAACTCATATTCGTTTTTAGTGTATGCTACAGTGTTACTTTTAATTAACCATATTTTGAAAAAATGATTATCAGTCGAAGCGAAAATACATGTGTTGCTCCACATAGATCTTGTCAGCTGAACGAACTGATGTCATAATATGTGACATCACAATGAGATTAGAATCTGGTAAACATAGTTTCATACGTCAGAAAATAATCCACGGCTGAGGTTAGTATTTTAATCATAATCAATGGTTGAAGATTTTTGGTGAAATGGCTTAAAATCGGACAAGGTAGTGAGGATTCAGTTATTTTCTATCCTTCTTTTAGACTGAATATTGTTCTATACCCTTATTCCGTCAACATAATGCTTCTTTTCTAAATATATTCAGTCATTCAAGTCACTAATATCTTCAACTTTCTGTGTTACTGACCTAGTGAATTTTCTCTCTCTAAAGTTAATCATTGCCCCTGTTGTAATCAGTTAAGGATTTGACATGTAAATATATATATATATATATATATATATATATATATATATATATATATATATGATTTATGTAACTGAAAACCCTGGTATTCATACTTGTTACGACTTTCTGATCAAACGATCCGTCTCATCATAGTCTATTCAAAAGTAATTTATAGACCGAACTAAATAAAACAAACCTTTAATTCATTTTTCACTAAGATTCGTTTTGTAAGCGGTAAATTTTCATTGTTTTTATGTTTTAACTGATACTAGGATAAAAATGAAAACTCGTGCACATTATTACTATTGGTGAAAATACTCTAGACACTACACTTCAGTACCTACGTCTTCTTTTCTCGGTGATATTGGATTGTTTAGAACACAATTCTACTTGACTGATCACATAGATTGGTAATTTAAAGGAGTGAATGTTAAAGGAGAATAAGCAAGAAAGTGATAAAAGTGATGAAAATAAGTCGAGAGAAAAAAAGGTGACCAGACTTTGTTTGATCAGTTATTTAGGTTTAACCAGGCAGACGGTTTTTTACGATAGGTATCTCTACCTGTTTCTCCCTCAATCCAAATAAAGAGTTGCTTAGTTGTTGCCTTCATTTCTTATTTTTTAAGTTGTTTCTAGTTTTGTGAAAAACTAGACGTATACAGGTATTTTATAGACAGTTAGCTTTAAATAAGTGACCAAAAGAATAACAACTCAGAGTTTTCTATAGTTTAAACACAGTTAGGATCCTATTAATAAGAGTTTGTGATGAATTAATCGTTGGCTGAACTCAATAGCTTGGTGGATATCGACGCTGAGATACAAGTCCCAGAAAGAAGACAGAACGGGCTTCCTAAATTCCACTGCTAGCCACAAATACATAGTTGAAATTTTTTCAAAGATAGTTTTACTTTTAACATTTAGGATTGATTATATCTTTAATGATTAAAATATTTGGAAAATTCACCCAAATTTGAACAATTTTTAAAGATGGGATCAACAGTATTGTGATGCTTGTGAAGACTCAGGTTACTTATTACATTCCCGTTCGATGAATAGAAACTGATTACCAGAATTTGTGGTTGTTGTCAAGCATATATTATCGAGGAAATCACTTATAGATTAATGTTGACGTTCTTTGTTGTTTCCTGTCTAGCAGTAATTTGTGCACTGAAATTATAATCGTCTTTGAGGATAACTGTAAAATAATCCCTTAACTCCTGTAAATTTATTCTATCTCGGATTTGCAATTCGTAGAAACAAATTCTACTATTTACATGAAGTGGATTCTATTTTGAATAACAGTGTATTGTAAAATGTTACAATTTATGAAAAGTTTATGAGATCGTATATAATCTGAGATACTCGCTAATCTAGAGATCAAACAGAATTTTTAAATCATCACAGCAGAAAGTTAGGATCTCAAGATGAAGTTTCCAGTTATTAATCATAATGCATCACAACTTTTCTGGCTCCTGTAAAATACAATTTACTAATCACATTAATTACTCGTCATTAAATTAGGACCTAGGAAAAATATGCATTGGTTTAAACTGCTACATCGTTTAGGTATAACGAGATAAAATTAACAAAACGAATAGCAAAAAACTTGAAATATTAGTAGTACTAACGAGTAAATATAGAGAAAATGATTTGAAATAGAAAATGAAGTTGTAGAATACGAAATTGTGAAATAATACTAAAACTGAGAATACTTTGCAACTGATTATAAACTATATCATTTAACTTTTATAAACACTATTCACGATTATCTCATGGATTCCAGATGATTAGTTTACGCCCATAACAACACTCAATTCATTAGTTGGCAACCCAGTGGGGTAATGCCACTTTACTGATTTGTCCGATTCTAATTACACCACATAAAATAATAAGTATCATTTTGTACTGAACTTACTTTAAACTGTTTAAAAAAGATGATTTAATTTCGTGTATATCATTCATATCAGGTTGATGTTTTTGTCTATAGATGGAACCCCCGAATTCTCGATCGTATTGAATAAAATCATTCGTATAATTTGACACAATATCATTAACTTCACTTGATGTAATTTGTGAACGTTGAAATTGATAGATTTGCTGTGAATTATCTAGACGTCGTACAAAACGTATTTGTATACGTTGTCCATAACCACCTTCAAGTTTCCATTTACAGTTGTTTAACTCAGACGGTTTTCTCGTTCTAATTAAATTATTTGGTATGTGAAGAAAACCATTTGATTCTTTTCCGTAACTTGTAATTGTAAATTGACATGTACCTGTGATTAACAGAGCATTGATTAGAAAATTTCAATGCATGTAAACTTATAATACAGTTGAACAACCCTATAAATAACCTACGTATTTTGAACCTATCATCAGCCAATCAGTACTTACTTACTTACTTACTTTCGCCTGTTACTCCCAATGAAGCATAGGCCGCTGACCAGCATTCTCCAACCCACTCTGTCCTGAGCCTTCTTTTCTAGTTCCATCTAATTCTTGTTCATTCTTCTCATGTCTATCTCCGTTTCCCGGCGGAATGTGTTCTTTGGTCTTCCTCTTTTCCTTTGACCTTCAGGACTCCATGTGAGGGCTTGTCTTGTGACGCAGTTCGGTGCTTTCCTCAATGTGTGTCCTATCCACTTCCAGCGCTTCTTCCTGATTTCTTCCTCCACTGGGATCTGGTTTGTTCTCTCCCACAGTACGTTGTTGCTAATAGTGTCCGGCCAATGGATCTGGAGTATTTTGCGTAGACAATTGTTAATAAACACCTGTATTTTCTGGATGATGGTTTTTGTAGTTCTCCAGGTTTCTGCCCCATACAGTAGAACTGTCTTGACATTTGTATTGAAAATCCTGACCTTGGTATTAGTTGACAGTTGCTTTGAGTTCCAGATGTTCCTCAGTTGTAAATATGCTGCTCTTGCTTTGCCGATCCGCGCCTTCACATCTGCATCAGATCCACTCTGGCATTGATGAACAGCCAATCAGTACACAGGTAGCTAAAACCAAATATTTGTAGTTAAAATTGTAACAAAACTTAATTACGAAGTTGGCGATTTTCGCGTTTATACTCCGTATACTGTACATAAAAGAACTTGTTACAACAAATATTCCTGTACTTAGGAGATTAGCCCATATTTATTTATTTTGTTCAGGATAACGATACTTATATAAACTTTCCAGTACAGTTTCCATAAAGATTTCTTGTTGAATTACATTTCATACAGAAATTGTATCGTAATGATTAAAGGTTACTTCTTATCCTTCTATCACACCATGTAATTTTTAGGGTATGACTGAACAAGACATCCTTTCATATCAACCTTAAATAATCAAAACACTGGAAAATATCTTCCATGAATTTATTCATTAGCATAATGTCAGCTGGTATCAATTCCATGGTTTCTCACAAAAAGCTATAAGCCCCTTATCAGATTTGGGTTAGACTATCGATAGATTCTAGCTTTATTCTGTGTAACATTGAATGGAAAAATACATGAGGATAAGGTATACTTATTCTTAAATAGTATAACTGTCTGTAAAAATTAATATAAACTCACTAGGATTTGTTAAATTATTTATAGAAGAATAAAAAAAGGAATATGATATTTAAATACACAATAAAAACACTGTACAAAACAGGATATCAGGAAATATACCAGAAGTAGATTAATTGTAATGAAAGAAATCTACTTAAATGAAGATATTCATGAAAACCAATTCAGGAACAAACAGTACTTTTTTAATGCGAATGAAAAATTGTCAGAAACGTAAACGAAATAATCCAGTACGGTTAGTTAATTGAACTTACCTTGTTTAGTCAAAACAGACTGTCTGTTTACCGAGTATTGTGCTAATTTACGCGATAAAAGCAGTTATTACTATTGGCGATAAATGAACTTTTGATTTCTAGGCTTTATTTGTTTGCTTTCGCCGTCCACTTTGATATAAATATGTATATGGTGCCAATTCGGTCAGTATATATGTGTCTATGCTCCTTTAATAGGTAAAGTATGTACCTTATGCGTAAATTGTGGCTGAAATGTGTAAAAATAGTTTTAATTTTAAATATTTTCACTGTACTAAATATCAACCTTGAGATAGATTTCCTGATGTTTTAGTGGAAGGCCTTGATTTACGGAATTGTTCACATCAGAAATGAAATAGTTACTTGAAGATGACACTGATTGTAAAATGCATCATGATGAGAATCGACTATAAAAAATATACATCTCAACTCAGTTAGTGAATGATATAGTGCTTTCTGAAAAACCAGAAGTTTTTCATTTCAGTTACAAGCTCACACCACTGAAAAAGTTCAACTTAAAATAGAACGACTGTCCTACATTGTCCACAGTGTATTTTCTAAACAACGTCGACCTGAGACGTAAACTAATTTCGATAACTACAAAACGACTCATATCAACCAAAACCATCAGAAAAAAACTTTTTGTACACAACAATATCAGAATTAAAAGTTATTTCTCGAACTTACCGCACAGTCCTTTAATTTAACACTTTTAGAAATTACAAATTTTTTTTATCAAATAAACCCATTCAAAGACTATTCTACACTGATTTATATGACAGTTAATAGATATGCCTTAGTGTCTCATTGATTACAGAATAGCAGATGTCAAGTAATTTTGAAATATTTCAAACTTGTCAAATTTATGATAGGCCATAAATTAATATTATAATTAAGTTCCAATTCCATTGATTATCAAACATTTTGTAAATAAATGTGCAGTTTTCATACCATTGGGAACTCGTCTTTACCAAAATTTGTCCAACCTTTTGTTGTTCATTCATAAGAAAGAGTGATTGCGTCAATAAATTTTAGTTCAGTGAACAGCCTGTTTGTTTATTGTAACAGGTTTACCAAAGGAACATTTAAAGATTTATCTTAATTTTATGATGTTAGAATGAGTGATTTTATTGAATCGAAAAATTTCTTGTCAAGAACAAGAAGTATCCAAGACCAACTGGGTACAATAGGCAAGTGAAGTACTGCTCCAAGTTCTAGTCAAATTATTGATTTTTATTTGATTTTACACAGAAAAAGTGGAGATTTTACCGTTCGATGAAGTCCAATAGAGAAGGCAATACTGTTAACAACAACATTATATATTATTATTATTATTATTATTATTATTATTATTATTATTATTATTTTATTCTTATATTTATTTCTATACTTATACACATAAGTAGTTAGATATTTATTGTCATCAATGCCCAATTGAATTAACATTTTAATATCTCCGTGAAAAATTGAGTATTACTGAACATCTAAATTATGTTTAATCTGGGTATAGAGCATTTGCTCGTTCCAACTACATATTACATCATTAACTAGGTGTATGTGTATGTATGTTACGAAGAAGATATTATAATTCATGAGTTTTTAGAAGCTGAAGAAAGACAAAATAACTAAATTATTGAATTAATCATAATCTAATTACCGAACAAAATTGTAAAATATAGCTATAAGAATACTCAAATTTTTACTAGTGATAATCATGACTAAATCCAGTGACTAAACCAAGTAATAATAATAGCCATGTTCATTACCATATATTCGGATAATAGATTCTCAATTTTAAAAAAATGACTACAAGATCTGCCTGGTAAGACATCTGTTGTGGCTAATTTCCTCTATATTTGACTCCAATAAATGATACCCCGTTAACTGAGTATTCTAGGTAGGCTAAATCTCCTAGTAGAATTACGGATTTACTCGAGATTTTTCAGAAGCCTGAACATCAGTTGTAGAGATATTTTATTGTTAAAGATAAATAAAATTCACAAGCGTACAGCGAGCAAGCACACTGTGAAACCAAGAGAATGTGTGTCTGTGTCAAAAATCCATATATATTTTTGAGTGTCAATCAAGTGTGGATGAATTATTGATTATGTGAATGTTACAACCAATAGGAGAATAGAATGAGGTTGATGTGCAGACACGCGCTCAATGATAAAAGCACAGAAATTAACATAGTGAATTAAGTATCTGAATTACAGTGAGTAGACAAATAATATAATATTCACAGATTGAAATCATGAGTCAGTTGAAGCTAGACCACCATCGAAAACCTGGAAGCACTGGACGGCCGTTTCGTCCTGGTATGGGACTCCTCAGCAGTGCGCATCCACGACCCCGCACCACCCGGGGCTCGAACCCAGGTCCTACTGGCTTCGCGCGCGAGCACTTAACCACTAGACCACTGAGCCGGCATCCGACGGTGTTAATGTCTAACTTCTAATGTCTAGCTTCAACTGACTCATGACTTCAATCTGTGAAAATTTCTAAAAATCTCCACAAAACACATTCTGAAAATAATATAATAGTTGAATGGGCTTGCCACACATCTGACTTTCATTTACTTTATATCGTAAACATTTTCAACCATTTCCACACCTCAGAATATATTTAATGTATACAACCAGATATTTTGATGTTCTCTCTTCAACGAACAGACAAAAAATAAAATATTCTAAATATTATAGGGCGCTCGCCTGGATCTTATAGTATTCAGTTTCACTTGAGGTTTTAGGTGTCTTACAAAATTATGTGAGCTTAAACATGAGATTAACAGGAACTGTTATCTCGTAGAAGTAAATGAAGATATAAGCAATTTCATTACATTACACGGATAGTTTTAAAATACATAGAATAACAGTTTCAGGAAAACATAAAGAGCTGTCTAAATAATGAAGTTGCAACCAACGACATTTTATTTGTTTGAATCACATACACGTGTAAGCATATCAATATTTATATTCCATCCGTAACTAATATCTAAAGTTGACTAACTTATTCAGTGCTATGAGCCTGCAGTGGCTGTGCTTCGTTAACCAATCACCCTCGTAACCGTTACCATATAATCCTCAATGGTGTTCGAAATCAGAAGGCAAAGAAAAGCAGCGAATACAGTTTCATTAGCAGATAACTCAGACCACAAAGCAGTGAGGCAAAATAAGTGAGTCAGAGAACCAAGAGTGTAGAGTGTGTATAGGTTTAAATGTACATGTATATATATATAAGGAAATGAATGGATTATCTAATCAATTAAGCAGCTAATAATAAAGCTAGCAGAATGAATGTATGCGTAGGCGGTAGACAATGTTCAAGCATAAATATTTTATACAAGCACAATAATAATAAAGGTACAATAAGTTTTTATAGTACGGATGACTTTGTCCGCTAAATAAGTTAACAGAAGGGCTTAACCGAGTTAAATGAGAACAAACTCAATTGCACGTGATTTGC